GCAAACACTGGAAAAGAGCTGCGCATCTGAATTCATACAACCAGAGGGCTTTCATGACAGCCATGCATTCATGACAGTATGACCATGCATTGCCTCTTCAGTCAGATAACATGGCATTTTGGGAGAGGCTGCCCTGAACTGCAGAGCACATCTCAACCAGTTGAACTTGTGACTTTAATGTGGTAGAACTTAAATGTAACAAGAGCTACTGCCAAAATAAAATTCCCTGCTAAGCCATCAGAAAATATTCTCAAACATATCAGCACTTTTAAGTTGACTAATTCTAAGATAACAAACGCACCAAAAATGAGCTTGCTTGACTGCAGCTGTGCCATTCAGAGCTGCAGCTGGCTAGGCCCATGCGGCAGCCGTGCCACAGAGGACACTTGGGCAGACACTGCCACTGTGCATCCGAGACACATCCAAGTGGCTTTTGCTTGGATTTTGCTAAAATTCCTGTATTTCCCTTGTGGCAGTCACTGCCTGTCCTGGGCCACAGGGTGCAGTGATCGCAGTGCAGTGAGACTCAGACTCTGCACGGCCTTTCCTTTGCCCCATCCACATGGGCCTCCTCTCCTGCTCCCTTCTTTTGCTCCCAGGCCAAGGAAAGGACAGGCCTGAGAGCGCTAATAAAAATCTACTAACTCCCAGGCATTAAATCCGCAAGATTTCTGTGGTGGGTGGAATAAAAAAATACATAACATCCTCTGCTTTCTAAAAATAAAGGAGACATTTCACCTACAATAAAACCTGCTGGGCTAGTCATGATACTTGGGAATACGCTTATCTACTTCCCAGGCTTTTCTCCCAACCTCCGTGAGGTTTGCTTGGGGAGCGCTCCCAACTCAGAAAGCTTGCGAGGCTGCAGTGGAGCAGCGGGAAGCAAACGCCTGGGCAGCAGAGCCACTTCTCTGCCAACAGATGCCGACAGGAGCGGGGAGGTGTGGGGAAGTGGAGAAATGCCCCCTTTCCCGCAATGGGAGGAGCAGAGGAGTGCAAGGCAAGGCCGGGCGCTGCGAACGGCTGGCGCTGCGGCTCCTGCAGGAGCAGAGAGCACTGCACAGGAGCTGCAGGAGCCCCACATCTCAGCCCGCAGCGGCTGCACTGCCGCAGGGAGCCTGCAGGGAGCACGGGCAGTGAGCGCGTCAGACCACTCGTCGCATTTTGCATTGCTGTGTAGGTGTACTTACACACAGCAAAGAGTGTGGATTCCTGGGGGGTGGGCTGGCTGTGTGGGGCTGCCCAGGTGCACACATAGCAGCACACCTATGTGCTTTTGAGCATTCCGCTCTTGTTTTCCTTTTTCTAACTGCTCACTGCAGTGACCGGTCAGAAGGAAGCGTGCGACCCCCGAGCTCTCTGGCTACACCTCGCTGTAAGGCTGAGTAGAGACCTTTCCGCATCTGTTGCTGCCCCTGAAGAAAATAATAGAGAATGATGAAATAGCACAGAAAGAAGAAATAGTAGAAAAACTATTTACAGTCCTCTTAATTCTAGGTTAGAAAACAGTCTGTGTGTGTGTTTTTTGTTTGTTTTGTTTTTATAATATAAGGCTTAGATACTGAGTTTCTTGGTTCCCTTGTGGTGTGGTGTCTCTGTCTTCTCCATGGGGTCAAGATTTGGGTCATTTTTGTAGTGATTCTTCTTCTTTCTGAGTTGTTGTCAACAGAGGCCATCACTTGCCGAAGGGATCCCCTGAAAACTCTTCATCACCTGCATTTAACCAAGGGTGTTTGGATTTCCAAGCATACAGTAGATGCATATGCAATCAGCTTTGTTTTTACCTCAATTACTTATCCTATTGATGCGGTATGTGAGCATCTCCTTCATTTTTCTTTTTTTCCTGTAAATTGGATTACCAAAATACAGTTTACTAAGGGCTTCTCTCAAATACTCCTCCAAAGATTTAGTCAGAGCAGATTGGAACTGTTTGCTTTGCAAACTGCACTGAGCTTATTAAACCTGTTCTCCACAGATTGCCTGAGCTTATTTAAGATTTATAAATCTCTAGGATTTATGCCCCTAGTGCCTCGAGTACTCAGTCATTGCCCTTTCTTAAGGTATCACCCTGACAACAGATACTAGCCGGAGACCCAAGCTGAGCGTCAAGCACTGACACCTGATGAGCAAGTATGGGAAGGGTGAGGAGTCTTATTATTTTATTTTATTTTATTTTATTTTATTTTATTTTATTTTATTTTATTTTATTTTATTTTATTATTTCTTGTATTGGTTCCATGGAAGGAGAACAATGCTCTTCTGGGAAGGAAAAGCTCCTCATTTTAACCTGTCTCTTCTGTAGGAGAGAACTGCAGAGCTGGCTGAGGGAGTAGCCAGAGCACCTTACATTTGCCACATGCCAACTTGATTAGGAAGTATCTGACGCTTGTGCCAGAAATTTTACAGGAGAAATGTACGTTTCAGAGAGAAAAATATATGACGGTTTATTCCAGAAAAGTCTTTTTTTTTTTTTTTTTTTTTTTTTAAATATCTTTGTGCAAGTCTCTAAAGGCCTTCAGGCAGAGCAAAGGAAAATGTGAAACCATTACTAATAACCTATTGTGGAGAAAGCCAGATAGGCCATTAGGCATATGAAGTGTTCCAGCTCCAGTTCCCATTGCAAAATGCCGTTCCCACTGCGCAATGCAACACGGGAAGGCTTTGTAAATAAAGCATAGGTAGGCTCTTCACACTCCTGGGACAGCGGGAGCGCTGCCCTTAGCTAGCAGGACGGAGTGGTGAGGGGTTGCTGGGTTGTGTAGGTCCCCCAGCACCTCCCTTGCTGGGGCAGAAGGACAGGGCTGCCATCAGGTTTCAGGGCACTTCCTGTTCCTCCTGCTGCCCTAGACGTGCTTCTTTGGGCACATGGGCCCCGTGTGTGGCCCCGCAAGAGTGAGCTGCCCATCGGCTGTGGAGACAGGAGAGACACTGGCACAGGCCCAAAGTCTGATGCGGGCTCGAGGCCCAGTGCGGGCCTGAGGCCTGGTGTGGGGCTGAGGCCTGGTGCAGGCCTGAGGCTTGGCGCGAACTTGAGGCCTGGTGTGGGGCTGAGGCCTGGTGCAGGCCCGAGGCCTGGTGTGGGCCTGAGGCCTGGTGTAGGCCCGAGGCCCGGTGTGGGGCTGAGGCCTGGTGCTGGCCCGAGGCCCGGTGTGGGGCTGAGGCCTGGTGCGGGGCTGAGGCCTGGTGCAGGCTCAAGGCCCACTGCGGGCCTGAGGCAGGCCCGAGGCCTGATGTGGGCCTGAGGCCTGGTGCAGGCCCGAGGCCTGGTGTGGGGCTGAGGCCTGGTGCGGGCTCGAGGCCTAGTGCGGGCCTGAGGCCTGGTGCAGGCCCGAGGCCCGGCGCGGGCCCAGGGCCTGGTGCAGGCGCTGCGGGACCCACAGCCCTAGCAAGAGTGCTGGCTCTCCCCAAGGAAGGACAGCGCGCTCCATTGAGAGCGGGGCCTCCTACGAGCACAAGTAGCTTGCAGTGGGATGCCACAAGCCTGCCTCAGGCTTTTTCTTTTAAGCACAGAACATAATTTTCCTGCCTTTACCGTGGTGCCCCTACTCACCCTTTGTGGCACAGAGCTGTGCTGTGGCACCACAGCCAGCCACAATGGGTGCAGGATGTGGCCCAAAACAGATAACCTGCGTTGTACATGGTCGAAGCCTGTGACTTCCAGGCAGAGTTTCCTTCAATTTCAGGCACTTGTCAGCCAGCTGGAGCATTCAGATAAAACCTAGCAGGATGACAGGCACTGAGCTGCAGCAAGTACCAAGCAGGCGGCGAGAGAGGTAAAGGTCTTGCAAATGAGACTGGTAGTGCATCAGCAGTGACAAGGTGCAGATTTCTGCACGAAAACAGGCGGTAGTTCTCTGTTTGCAGGCACCAGCACACAACATGTCTGCATTGCTTGCACTATGCAGCACTGGGAGCAAATGGTGCCATGTGGTGGGAGCAGGTTTTGGCAGCAGCAGCTATAGCAATAAAACAGGTAAGTGTAAGTGACGCGGGGACTTTCAAATACTGCCCAAGAGGTGCCCAGTAGGAGACCACCTGTGAGATGGGCATCTTGCGGCATAGCAGCTGATGCTTCCCCATGTTCTGGGAGCAGCCAGAAGAAAGGGATTTGCAGAGCTGGAAACATAATCAGCAGTGACTCCCTGACATGGTAGCTCTGGAATGGAAGCTGTTGCCTGAGGCACCCTCCAAGCCCAAGGGGTCTCGTCCCCTTTTTCTGAAGGGTTTAGCAAGGTGACAGTGCTGAACTGCCCACAGCTGCACCCACTCACCCGCTCTTTCCCTTCATCTTCTGCCTCCTTGTTGGGGCAGAGATACAGTCAGTGTTCTCCCCATTTGCAAAACAGGATGCGTATAGCCAGGATGCATCCAAAACTGCACAGGGAGGAAGGAGTGGCAGAGGCACAGCACTGGGCAACCCACCAGTGCAGGATCTGCTCTGGTGTGGGCACTGAAGCGCGGCTCACCAGCCCTTGGCTGTGGCACAGAAAAAACTGTCTGTCTCAGCACTGACGGCCTGCCTCACTCACAGAACGGGCACCTTTAGTCATTTGGAAAATAATGAACTACCACATGCTTTAATTGCATTTCCATCAGGAATGAAAAAGGTTTTGAGGCTACTTTAATAACATCACTGCATAGCAGCAATACAAAATTAGCTTGTGCCCCATGCAAGTGGCTTATTGAATCATCCTCAGTAGTCCTGTCAAGTACAGGAGGAAAAAGAAGTAGTGAAGATCCATCCTAAATCTGTTCAAATACACTTAAGCACTAGGATTTGAAGTGCATAAAATGCAAGTAATTCAAAATGATGTGAATTCTGTGGCTTCCCCTCTTTTCCAACCCAAGTTCAGAACATCTATCTTTAAGACAGACTCTCCCACATTATTAAACTTTTTTCCCTTAAAATATATACCAAACCAAGTTTAGTCAAAAGGAGCCAAAAACGTGTTTATTAAAAACCAAAACATCCAGCATGCATCAAAAAAATGCTTGCCATATAAAAACAAAGTGCAATAAAAAATACTTACATATTTAAGTGTCCATTTCTTAAAGTAGCAGCATATTCCATAGAGTGCTCTAACATATTGTTTTCATAAAAATGACAAGCATTCCCCATTTACGTATATTTTTTTAGCATCAGTCACAAGATGTGGAGAGCTGTACCATGTTAACAGAAGACAACACATGCCTGGCAGATCTCAAAACGTAAAGACAAAACCAGGTAAGGGTGGTGGGAAACAGCACCTCACACCCCTAAGCAGGCACTGTGACAGATGTGTCTTGACATGCAGCACAAGTTCCCCGGTACTTAATTAACATGTCCTCTCCAAGAACTTCATCAGTAGTTTTGTCAAAAGAAGAGTTTCTCTTCCTTATTAAAGCAAAAGCAAATATCACTTCTGCTTTGCTCTGATATCACCTGTCTTTGCATAGCTTCTTTCCACCATCATAAGTGCTCTGGTTTCTCTTTCATTCTTTCCCTCCTCCATATCTCTCTCTGTTGCCTGTATGTAGAGTCCTGGAAAATTCTCTCCACTTGTTTTGCAAAGGCAGGACTCTCTTCTTCCAGGGCATTAATGGCTTGTAAGATAAAGGGAGTCTTCTCCCGGGGAAGTGGGTTATTCAGCGGTCTCACAGGTATCACAGTGTTGTACTTATGCTCTTTGTTAAGAGCATTGGCAAGGCAGGTGTAAGACTGAAACTCACACCAAGGACCATTCAGAAAACCTTCTGTCAGCAGGATAATAGTCCAAGCCGAGCCATTCACAGCATCACTTAAATTTTCCAAAATATGTTTACCACAAGGCATCTCAGCAAAGATTATTCCAGGTTTAATACAAAATTTATTCTGCAGCAGGTTCTGGATCCGGATGGCTTCATCTACATCATTCTCAGCATGCAGAATCACAAACTTATAGAAAACACCCTCAATATTCTCATTACTGCTGCCAACTCCTGGAGATCTGCTTGCAGACTCCTTGATTTCAGCAGAGAGGCCACACAATTCATTAACTTGCTTGGAGTCTCTCTGACCTGTACTCATTTTCTTAGACTTTTTGCTGCTATTTTGTGAAACCGCTGGTTTGGAATTAGCACTGCCCATTATGACAAACACATCCAGTAATGAGCTGCTGATGTGATTAACATCTCTTTTTCTATTCAAAAAAAAAAAAAAAAAAAAGGACAAAAGGAAAAAAAAAAGAAAATATTACTTACTCTAGGACAATAATAATAATAATAATAATAAAATGTTTTTCCCTTTTTTGAAACAATACAGACTATTTTAATTAGGGGAAGCTATCATTCATGCTAAGGGAATCAGCCTGAAATGTTGAGAAAAAAGTTGATACTAGCTTCTATAAAATACAGTAATTCAAATACTCACTAACAAAACCTGGCAAAAATCCAAGCACACCATTTTTAGCTTTACAGACAGGGTATGCAAGTACAATGACAGAGTATATACACCTGCAAGCAAAAAACTTGACATCAAATTGCATCAAAGTAATCCTTTTTAATGGATACCAAATCCTGCAAACTGTTGAATATATCTGATTAATCAAAGTATTTGTTATCTGCATAAATACCACAGACAGACATATGTGTTACTGAAGTTGAAATGTGTTCCACAAATGAGTTTGAGACATATGTAGATATATGACTGAAGTGGGATCATACATAAAGCAGTGAAAAGATTCTAGCTCATTTAAGTGGTGAGTAGGCTTAAAGGATAAAAAAATTATGCACGAAGCCTATGGTAAGAAAGGAGCTGTAATTACTGAATTCAAAGAAATTGCCTCTGATCAGGGATACATTGAGAAAAATAAAATCTTGGAGAAGAGATACAGTGAGAAAAATACAATCTTGGAAAACTGAAATCATTTAGGTTGATCCAATGCCCGTGCACAGGAATAATAAAAGGAAAAATAAAATGTTGAAAACCAGGGGAAATTGTTTAGGGAAACAAACAACTGGGGGTGAGGCAAGCATTTGTTGCATTACTCTGAAAAGGACAGTCATGTTCTCATTAAGACATTACGAGAACCAGTGTGATAGAAGAACACTTCCACACCCTCCCCTCCCTTAGTCTATCATGACATTTCATAGTAAGTTTAAAAGAACTTATTAGACAAATTATTAAAGTAACTGATTAGAGTACAAATTATTAGAGTAACTGATACAACTTGAAAGAAATCAGACAAGTTTTTGAGTGCACAACCTTGAGAATTTGATGGTGGCCTTGGAAGGTCTGATATTTTACATGTCTTCTCCTACTGTAACAGCTGTGTAATAGAAGATACATTGATTCTTCCTGCAAGCCACATTTCACCTTCATCATTAGGCCATTATGGTTATGATAAAACACCATTCTGACAAAGACACATGGCACTAGCATAATTTAACAATAATGCAACAGTTGCTTTCACTAACCAGATTAGCTGTTGCTCCCTTGGATGTTTGCTTGGGAACGTAACATTAAGAAAAAGATCAGATCACCAAAAACAAAACGAGTCCAATTCTTGACATTCAATTTATAAATTGAAATTCAAAAGATTATTTTCCACACCATTTAAGCACTGCCTGTTTATGTACATAGTTGATAATCTTAAAACTTCTTGTTCCTTAGTAATTTGTTTCTTTTCCACACCATATGCAAAGCTTTTTTAACATTTGCTTGCTGCTAATTTGAAACATTTGTGTTGAAGAGGAATGCATACAAGCTACCCAGATAAAATACAAGAAAAACACAGTATCTGGCTTATCAGCCTTGTCATAAAAGACAGATGAATTGTTCTTGCACTGTCTGAAATCCTGTGCGTGTGCAAAGGCATGCACAGAGGCACTCAGGAGCTACTCCATTTGTACAGTGGTAGAAGCCTCTTTTTTCCTTGAAAAGATTCATTTCACACATTTCACCTTTGTTGAACAGCACCACCTTGCGACTCACATATGCAATACTGTATGTGCCTTCATATCAATGCCATACTTGATAGAACTAACACACAGCTGCTAGGATTCACGCTGTGCACGAACCCATGAGCAGCAGATCCCCTCCCAAATGGTTTTGTTCACGTTTATTTCAGCTTTACCACATTTCACTTCCATTCTCCTTTGAAACATGGACAATCAATCCATGACCTACCAATCAATCCGTGACCTACCAGCTCCTGAACCACTGGCACTGCAAGGTAAACTGGACTCCCAACTTGTTAATTCTCATCCGTTTTGGAAGGGCTGCTTGTGTTATCATAGTTACAACGATGATGCACTAATTTCTAACAAGTTAAAGACTAATGTGTTTTTCTTGCTGGAGTTGAGGAGATACCCAGAAGCAAGGCAATGCACATGCCTCATTTATGGGATGATGCTGTGGGATTTCTACAGTTTAAGATATGCCAGATAAACTCCAAGCAATAGATAGGAAGACTATACATAGGCTGGTAACTGAAAAGAAACAGAATAGGAATAAAAATTGGTAAATACACGTGAACATCCTTTGGGAAGGCAGTAATTTTGTCAAAGATCCAAAACTGAAGTTTATTATTATAATCCACTCCCCATGGCACAGCACAATAATGAAGAGTGCTTCCAAGAAGAATTAATGCAATTTCCTCCTCTCTCAAATGCCATAATTTAGAACATTACAACCTGTTAAATAAGCAAATATGGGCCAAACTAGCATTATGTCATTCCCTTGAGACTGCCCAAGATTATCTTTTTAAACACTGAAGAGAGAAATGCTTTGTACAGGATGAAATGGCAATATTAAATCTCTTTTTTTTTTTGGTGACACAAGATACTTGGGTCACTGGATTTTTAGTATAGAGCTAACGTCTGCTTGCTGAGAGAAAAGAAAAAGAGCTCAGAACATTATGAATTGAAAAGAATCTGATTGCTCTTGTTGCAGTGAAACTCAAACGTTGGTGGCTCAAACACAAATGTAAGACATGTTTTCTACATGTCATACTCTTAGAAATTGCTCATGCTCTTACAAATGAACAAATTCTTACAAAGAAGAACTCTTAGTTAGAAGAAAAAAAAAACTGTTAATATTAATGGTCTTCCTTCCTTCACATTTTCCATAAGTAGGGTAGTGGTAAGCTCACAAATACAAACCTTTGTCAAAAACACCATCATGTTTTCCTTTTCAGGTGAAAGATGAAAACAGTCTTTTGAAAACTGATGTCCCCAGAGAGCAAAAGAGCAAAAGCATTCCCAGAGCAGTCCCCAGTGCGTCTGCTTGGCACAAGAGACACGGTCAGTAATGGGAGTGGGCACCTGTGCTGCGCTTCCAGGCATTGCCAACTCACTGCAAACCACACGTGAGCGTGTGACCGAGGAGCGTAGTGCTCAGGGAGCATGGAAAAGCCCCTACAGCTGTTGTACAGTATGTTGGGCTACATTGCCCAACATAGAGCAATGATCAGACAAGATGAGGACATGAATGCAGTTGCTCCACCGCTGCCTTACGTCTTCTGTGGAGAGGGGAGGACCAGTGTGACAACCTGCATGATTTACCGCACCAAAGGCAGCTGCAGCTTTTCAGGCAATGCTTTAGAGGCCTTTGCAGGGGTTGCTGATCTGAGGGGGTCTGAGGGGAGCTCACTGTACTAAGCTCTATGCAAGGCATGCAATAACAAGGCAGCTTCTGTCTGAGCCAGTGTAAGTGGTCACAAAATGCAAGAGCCGGGTGACCTCGAATCACCCTCCGTGCCATCCTGCCAGCCCTCAGTGACCGGGGCCGTGGGGCACTCCCCTGCACCCACAGAGCCCAGCGCCACGAGGCCTCGCCAGCTCGTGCCACTGACCTCTCGGGGCATTCCCCGAGCCACAAAGCCTTGCCCTGCGCGCCACCATGACTCCCTCACGGCACCTTCGTAGAACAACACCCGGAGACAAGCTGCCCTACCTGTGCCCTTGCTTCAACCATTCTACTCCAGCACCTGCTATTGTCTGTAACTGAGAAGTGACTGAAATTAACATTGAAGATATGATGCTCTTCTTGGCTTAACAGTAATTTAGGAAACCATAATGAATTTTAAGTAGCTCTTTCTGTTTCTGTTAAAAGCACCAAGTCTTACCAAATCAGCTCCCTCACACCTTTACAGCTCTACTAGGAGCCCAAGCGCACGTGTGTCAGGAAACCAAAATGGGGCAGTTTGAAGCACCTTCAGCTCACTGTGTCTAACGGAAAACGTCCGCGCCCGAAGGTCCGCGTGAACCCAACACCCTCCCGCAGGAGGGCCAGGCTGAGGGTGGCAACAGCAGCATTGCCCAATATCCGCACATCTGCTGGAGCGCGCAGTGCACCCAGCTGCAGGTCAACTGCCCACAGCATTTGTCACTTCCTGACACGCATTTATCCTAGTAAAAAAGCCAGTATTGTCTACACAGTGTTAGGCCTGCCCAACAAATTAATGGCTTCACACAAAGAAATATTTGATTTATTCTTAAAAAAAACAACAACAAGAAACCCAGTCTGAGCACAGACAAGTTTGTCACCAGAACAATCCCGCTGTTGAGGAGCTCATCACTGCATCCTTTCACAGCTCCCCCAACAGCCTCCCAACAGTTTTGATTAATTTGCTTCAGCATGTTCCCATATGCCACCTTGTACCAGAAACTCTATGTACTTGAGTAATTATTTTAATAACAGTTAAAACCCACTTGTTTCACACGGAACGTGGCCTTGGATGACTACGTCGCATTCAAGCACAAACATCTTTCCTCCAAGAGTCCTCCAGGCTACTCCCTGTTCCCTCACCTTAGCGCTCCGTGGCTTTCCAGCCTCCCAAAACACCGCACGTAACAGAGCATTACACACAGAGATAGCAGCCTGTATTTGTGCTGTTCGGACAAGACCTCCGCATTTTATAGGGAGCGGCGGTTATGAGCCGGCACGTGCTAATCCTGCTGGGCGACCACAGCGGGAACGCCGGAGTCGGCCCCAGCGGAGCGGGGATTCTCCCTAGCACCTTGGGAAGGGAAACAGGCAGTGCAGCGGAAACATCAAGGAAAGGATTTGGGCATCATAGTTTCTGTTGCAATAAAACCAAACGTCGGAAAATGGGCAAGTCTGGCATCAAGTTTATGTCCTTTGGGAAAGGTAATCAAAACCAAAGCAGCTCAGCTTAGCCCAGCGAAGCCTAAAAGCCCACAAGCATGAAAAGCCGGAGCAGCCTTCGGAAAGCAACCGGCCTTGGAAGCCTGCGGCCACCTACCTTCCCAGGCACGCTCGCCTTAACTCCTTCCACTCACTCCAGGTCCGCACAACTTGCGAGGAAGCGGCTCCTTTAAGGCACGCGCGAGGCCGCCATGGGGCGCGCGGCGGCGGCGGGGGCGCGGGCACGTGTTCCCCCTTCCCCCCCTCCCGTGCACAGCGCCCGCGGTCACGTGACCGGGTCAACTGACGCGCGCCGCCATCTCATTATTACCCATTTTAAATTTTTTTCCCCATTTTTTATTTTTTTTTCCCCAATATGTTTTTTTTTTTCACCGAAAACGCACTCGGGAGCACCGCAGCCCGCCTTGAAATCCTCGGCAGTCCGCGGAAGTGCTGGGGTTTAGCCGCACTTCCAGGATCCAAGTCCTCTTGGATCCACTTGGTGCAACTTGCGGAATTGCCAGTGGAGGGGGAAGAATGAAAAAGGGGGGTAAAAAAACGGAAAAAAAAAAAAGCCGTTTTGGGGAACTGGCAACACAGAGGTGGCACAAATCCAAACAGGAGTGTTAAAACTCCCGTGTTCCCAAGTGTTGTGCCCAGCACCCAACGTATGCTCCATATTATAAAATACCTCCTGTCACGAATGACAGTTCCGTAAAGTGTGTGTTCCGCGTGTTCCGTAAAGTATATCCCATCATTAGGCACCATTGTCTGGATAAATGTGCCTGGTTCACCGTGTATTAACCTCGTAGCTACAAAGCAGACACGAGCAGTTGCAGGTTCCACATCATTCCTGGCATCGGGGGTGAAATACTTTGAATTCCACCCTGAATTCCACCCCGACAGGAAGATATTTGTGAGTTTTATTGCACACACTTCAAAGAGGGCCACGCTACTGCACTCTGACTTGAGATTTCTTTTTTTTCCCAGTGAATAGAAAGCACAAATAATTGGAAGCAGCAGGGAAATGGTGCACTCCCCAATGCAACAGGAATAAGCATCGTGGGTCATGCAGACTTACATTTTTGTAAGTAACATGTTAAAAGTACACGTTGACCTCTCAAACTGTCATTCAAAGCTTTTTTGGAAGAATAATGCTCTCCCACGAGATGTAAATAAAACCACCAGACCACACTGATATATTAATTTTTTATTTTCCCGTACAATATTCACAGGGTCTCCTTTTTGTCTTATTCAAACTAAATTTTTGTTTTGTTTCCCCAAACTAAAACAAGAACTGGCATTTCAGGACTTGCAAAGAAGTTCTGTAAACATAAAACATCCAAGAAATAGCTGAAACTCAGGGCCTTTTTCAATTTAAAAACACAGCTGTAGCCCATATAATGCAGGGTGACTTTGCTGTGCATCATACTATGAAAGGAAACTGTTCTTTCCATACATAAAAAGATGTGGCTTTCACAAAAAAAAAAAAAAAAAA